CAGTGCCTAAGGCATTTGACTGGTAACCTGAAGGTGGTTCTAACCCACCAGCCACTCCTCAGAAGGAAGGCAGGGCAGTCTACTTCTGTAAAAATTAACTGCCTTGAAAACCCAGTGGGGGTCACTGTGAGTCGGAATCCACTCGACAGTGCAGTGGGTTTGGTTTTCTGGGTTTGTACCTAATTTGAATAAACATGAAAATCATAAAAAGTGCTTTTGCTTCTTTTCCAGTTCTATAAAATTAAAAACAAAAACAGAAAGACTTTCTGGGTGTTAATGAGGGAGGATTCCTAACAGAGGGACCCTATCAAAGGTGGACATCCCGTGGGATCCAGAATCACAAGGCAGTCCAGTCAAGTTCCAGCTCTCACAGCTTTCACCATACAAGGTGAACTCAAAGGTATGTATTTTATGTTTTGAAAACTCATTTGCTTGTTTTCCCTTCGTTTATCTCATCTGTCTCCCTTTCCCCATTCTGAGAACAAGCCCAGTGGAATGTTTTCTCTCTCTGCTGTTGAGTCAGCAGTTGGACTCACAGTGTCCCCGTGCACAGCAGGCAACACTGTGTGGTCCTGCGCTGTCCTCATGACCCGTGATCTGTGCGAGCCCAGTGTTGCAGTCACTGTGTGTTCCGAGTGCCTTCTGACCCAGGGGGCTCAGCTTCCAGCACCGTATTGGACAATGTGCTGTTGGGGTCCATACGGTTCTCACTGCTAATTTGCAGGAGATCACCAGGCCTTTCCTCCTGGTCTTCCCAGTCTATTTCAGTCTGGAGGCTCTGCTGGCACCTGTCCACTATGGGTGACCCTGCTGGCATCTGAAATACTGGTGGCACAGCTTCCAGCATCACAACACACAAGTTACCACAATACAACAAACTGACAGGTGGTGGGTTTTCTCTATAGAATTCTGTATATATTTGATATTCCTTTTTTTTTTGTCTCTTCTTCATGCAGATTGTGTGGCCTGACTGATTCTCTTGTTGTTGTTGTTATGTGCCTTCGAGTCAGACCCGACTCATAGTGACCCCTCCTTGGGTTTCCGAGGTGGTATCACTATGGAAGTAGATTGCCCCATCTTCTTTCCGAGGAGTGGCTGGTGGGTTTGAACCTCCAGCCTTCTGGTTAGCAACCAAGTGCCTTAGGCACTATGCTACCAGAGCTCCTTAGGTGGGTTGTATACCCAGGGCCAGAAAGGCTGCATAAGGTACCCACTGTGGTGAGTAATACATTACAATACTTATGTCATTTGGATTTACGTCTTTTTGGCAAAATGAGTGAGTACCTATTTCCCCACTTCATCAGGTTTTTAAGTTAATTTTATAACATCAGATTTGTTGTAGAAGATCAACTTTGGAACAGTGATGCTGTTGTTGTTAGGCGTTGTTGAGTCGTGTCCAACCCACAGCGAACACGTGTGCAACAGCACAGAACAGTGCCTGCTGGATCCTCACCACTGCTACCATCCTTGAGCTCATCACCGCAGCCACTGTGTCAACACATCTCATTGTGGGGCTCTCCTTTCTTGCTGACCGTCTTCTTTACCAAGCATAATGTCACTGGAGCAGTGATGAGGGCTCCGTTTATCATTAAATGTGTGATGATCTTGCAAGGGTCTTGGTGGTTAAGATGGTAGGCTGCTAACCAAAAGGTCAGTGGTTCAAACCCACCAGCTGCTCTGTAGAAGAAACATGAGGCAGTCTGCTTCTGTAAAGAAGTGACCCAATGGGGGTCACTATGAGTTGTAATCAGCTTTATGGCGGTGAGTTTTTTTCCCCCCAACAGTACTGGCAGATGAACCCCCCAGGTGAGAGAGCACTCAAAATGCCTGTGGAACAAAAGGCCCCTCCCTGCAGCCCACCTACCTAGGAAGTTCTTATGACAGGATCCAAGCACAAATCAATTTCCAACCAAAATGATCAATCAGTCAAAGCAGAGAGACCCAGAAGATAATAGCAAAGCCAAGAAGAAGGTAACCTCTAATTCACTTGACTGCTAAAAACCAAAAAAAAAAAACACACAAAAAAACCCTAACTCACTGCTGTCGAGTCAGATCTGACTAATAGTGACCCCTCCTTGGGTTTCCGAGGTGGTATCACCATGGAAGTAGACTGCCCCATCTTCCTTCTGAGGAGTGGCTGGTGGGTGTGAACCGCAAGCCTTCTGGGTAGCAGTCAAATGCCTTAGCCACTATGCTACCAGAGCTGCCCACTAGGGAAGGGCATTTAATGGTTGTTGTTGTTAGGCGCCATCCTCACAGTCCTTCCCACGTTTGAGTCCATTGTTGCAGCCACTGTGTTAATCCATCTGAGGGTCTTCCTCTCTTTTGCTAACCCTCTACTTTACCAAGCATTTCTCCTCCAGGTTCTGGTCCCCTTGTAACATAACCAAAGTATGGGGGAGGCTGCCTTGTCATCTTTGCCTCTAAGGTGCACTCTGGCTGTACTTCTTCCAAGACAATCTGTTTATTCTTCTGGCAGTTTGTGGTACATTCAATATCTTTCACCAACACCATAATTCAAAGGCATCAATTCTTCTTCAGTTTTCCTTATTCATTGTCCAGCTTTCATGTGAGACAACTGAAAATATCATGGCTTGGGTCAGGTACACCTTAGTCTTCTAAATAACACCTTTGCTCTTTAACACTTTGAAGAGGTTTTATTAGGCTGGGTTCTCTAGAGAAACATAACCAGTAAAACTTATATATATCTACAGAGAGAGAAATTTATCTTAGGAAAATGGCTCACAGTTACAGAAGCTGACAAGTCCCAAGTTCCTTGATCAAACGTCAAACTGGAGCCTTTTTCCGACTCACGCAGCTGCAGGGGCTGAGGACCTCAAGGTTGCCAGGCTGTACACCAGCTGTTGACTTTGGTGGATGACGAATCCAAGATCATCAGGCAGGATGGTGGATTGTTTGCTCATGGACAGTTGGAGGCAGCACAACAGGATCCAGATCCACAGAAGGTTCTCTTTTTCCCGGGATGTCCATGTACATATTAGAATCAGGCTACAACCCTAGGGAAACTCCCTTTCAATGGACTGCGTGCTCAAAGCATATGTATCCAGTCTCATCATGGAATAACCACATCACAACTGCTTAAGCCACTCAGAATCGTGGTCCAGCCAAGGTGACATACAACGCCAACTACCACACAGGTCTTTTGCAGCAGATTTGCCCAATGCAATATGTTGTTTGATTTCCTGACTGCTGTTTCCATGAGTGTTGACTGTGGATCCAAGTAAAATGAAACTCTTGACAATTTTAATCTTTTCTCCATTCATCACGATGTTGCTTATTGATCCAGTTCTGAGAATTTGTTTGCTTATGTTGAGGTATAATCCATATCAAAGGCTGCAGTCATTGATCTTCATCAGCAATTGTAATTATTAGGCTTAAGAAAATCTGCCGGAGAAACGGTCTGCCTCTGTCCTTCCTATCCAGGCCACCTAAATGAAGGCCATGGGTCCAGAACATTCTTTTGACGTGGAGGCTGGGAACTGCTTTGCTCTCGTCCTCCCACTTTCTCCTTCTTATCAGAGAAGGCTTCCCCCTGTTCTGGGCATAGTAACTGTCTCTGTTTCTTGCTTATGTGCAGGCACCATGGATCACTTGGCCAACCCCACTTCTGTATCTGTTCCCAGTGGGAAGGGAACAAGGTCTCCCAAGTCTATGGCAAAAGAGGGATGAACATACAATATCTGTCCTGCTCTGGCTACACACAGAGAGTAGGGTGGTTTCCTGCTGGCCACGGAGACTGGGGCCCACAGGTGAAGCTGATCTCTCTGTGTGAGTAAAGCATTATCCATGACAGGTGGAGCACGAAGGTTTCTTGGGTTGATGACCTTGAACCCTCACTTGACAACATTACAAGGAAAAATGAAGGTTAGGAGTGGCTGACAGGACTCTCCCATAACTCATCTCTCAGTCAGGGAAGGCGCTAGGGGGTGCTGTGCCAAATAGTCATTTGCACAAAGAAAAATGGGAGCAGGCACCCGCTCTCGATGGCACTTTATGAAGATACGTAATTCGTATCATGCTATCTTTATGGCATTTTAGACTAGCTCTGTCAGCTTAAGACAAAGGAGCTCTGGTGGCACAGTGCCTAAGGCATGTGACTGCTAACCAGAAGGTTGGTGGCTCAAACCCACCAGCCACTTCACAGAAGTAAGACGGGGCAATCTACTTCTGTAAAGATATGCTGCCTTGGAAACCCAATGGAGGTCACTAGGAGTTGGAAGCAACTCAATGGCAGTGGGCTTGATTTTTTTTTTTTTTTCGTTTAAAACCCTGTTGGCACAGTGGTTCAGTGCTCAATTGCTAGCCCAAAAGTCAGTGGTTTGAACCCACCAGGCACTCCATGGGAGGAATTTCACAATGTGCTTCCGTAAAGTTTACAGCCTTGGAAACCCCTCTCTGTCTTCTAGGGTTGCTCTGAGTTGGGTAGACTTGATGGCAGTGGATTTGGTTTGGGCTTTGCTTCCGTAAAGATTTCCAGCCTCGGAGACCTTTAAAGGCAGTCCTACTCTGTCCTATAGGGTGGCTATGAGTTGGGAAATACTTGAGGGCAAAGGTTTTTGTTTGTCTTCTAAACATTATAGAAAAGAGGGCAGGGGTGTGGTTCAGTGGTAGAATTCTCATCTCTCCTGTAGGAGACCCAGGGTCGATTCCTGCTCAGTGCCGCTCGTGCACACCCATCACCCGCCTGTCAGTGAAGGCTCTGCACTGCTATGATGCTCAACAGGGCTCAGCAGAGCTTCCAGACTGAGACAAGAGGCACAGATGTCTGGCAATCTGCTTCTGACAGTCAGCCAATGGACACCCTATGAATTACAACTGATGATGGGGGATGGCGTGGGACTAGGTAGTGTTTCAGTCTGTTGTACGTGGATGGAGTCAGCTACGGCTGACTCGACAGCAGTGAACAACACCTGCAATGATGTGGAAAACCCTGTTCGTCAGGCTCCCCCTGGATGGAACAGTGTTCCATTCCCTGTGGTCTACCAGAGACCTGGCAGGCATTGCCTTACCTGGAGGGAAGTGGGAGTGGCTAGGTTAACGACACACCCACTCTCCCGCTCTTGCTGGCATCTAGTAGGTAGAGTACTGTGAACTAGTGTTGGCTCTGTCGGCGTGGTGTTACGTCTGGATAAATCACTCATTTCTGTAACGTTTTCAGAATCAGTGTGAATGGCAACAGCTCCACCAGCCAAATCCTGACTACTGTTTGAATCCACAGATGTCGACTTGTCATTTTCTGCATGGAGGGCTTTAATATCTTCTCCAGTGAGGTCAGGATAAGATTCACAAAAAGAGATGTTGTCACCACCAATGGAGCTTCGCATCAGAGGCCAGGCATCGGAAAATTCACCACCGATGGACCGGGAAAGGGAGCCAAGGAATGTTGGCATCATCTCGCCCACAGAACCTGCAGTTCTGAACACATTTTTAAGACATCTTTAAAAATCACGTGGAGAAGCAAAACACCACTACAAAGCCGCATTTTGGCTGTAAGTTTAGGTCTTCTAGATAAAATGGGAATTTTTAAAGTCAAAATTCTTTTGTGTTATGACAAACTTGTCTCAGTACAATGAGCTATTATTCAATTTACTTTAAAACAGATTTTTATACTCGTTTCTAATAATTAGAGTGACACTTAATCCAAAACATTTAATTAAAACATTTTCTGCATCAAAACTAAGTGCCCTTGCTTGAGATTCTAAAACTCTAGGAGTATGTGACATATTAACAGTTACCTACTGATGAGAAGTGAAACAAATGATGACTATAAGCCAAAAATAACATTAATAGGGAGGAGACAGTAAAGAATGTTGCTTAAGATATCAGCAATCTCGAAAGACTTACTTTATTCTTGTCAATCATCTCCTCCAAACTCCAAAATGTCACTAGTAATATTTTTTAAAAATCATCATTGATGAAGTGATGTCCCCATAGTTTCACATTAAAATCAATAAACTAGAATGCATAAGGAGCCCTGGTGGCTTCACTGCTAACCAAAAGGTCAGTGGTTTGAAACCACTAGCTGCACCTCGAGAAAAAGATGAGTCAGTTGGCTTCCGTAAAGATGACAGCCTTGGGAACCCTCTGGGACAATTCCACTCTGTCCTCTAGGGGCGCTGTGAGTCAGAATCAACTCCAAGGCAGTGGGTGTGGTTTGGGCTTTGCTTCTGTAAAGACTGACAGCTTTGGAGACCCTGTGGGGCAGTTCCACTCTGACCTCTAGGGGCGCTGTGAGTCAGAATCGACTCCATGGTAGTGGGTGTGGTTTGGGCTTTGCTTCTATAAAGACTGACAGCCTTGCAAACTTTATGGAGCAGTTCCACTCTGTCTTCTAGGGGTGCTGTGAGTCAGAATAGACTCCATGGCAGTGGGTTTGGTTTGGGCTTGGCTTCCATAAAGATTGACAGCCTTGGAGACCCTCTGGGGCAGTTCCACTCTGTCCTCTAGGGGTGCTGTGAAGTCGGAATTGACCCTACTGCCAACAGGTAACCAAAAACTTGTTGCTATTGAGTCTATTCCGACTCATCGAGAACACAAAGGACAGAGTAGAACCGTCTCAGAGGGTTTCCAAAGGAAGTAGAATATGTATTTGCACAAGGGAGAATGAAGTGATAGTGACTGAAATAAGAAAGTTACCTGTCGTGGAGCGGGGCCTTGGAATGCACAGCACAGCCGAGGGCCCGCTCCATGCCGTGCGCCTCATCACGGCACAGGGATGGAACCAGGTGGACAGGCCCTGGGGACACCAACACATAAATTTCGTTAGGAACTTTCACACCAGCTCAACCTACTCTTCTTACAGTGATCTCTTCCCCATTGGGTGACTTTTTTTTGGAGGGAAGGGGTATGAGGTTTAATTTTAAACCTACCAGCCACTCCTCAGAGGGAAGACTGGACAATCTACTTTCCTAGAGGTACTGCCTCAGAAACCCAAGGAGGAGCTGCTATGAGTCAGATTTGACTTGACGGCAGTGAGTTTGGTTTTTGAGTACAAAAATGATGGAAGGTAGTCATGTAGTCTGTGAGGGCACGTGAAATGGCTTTTTGCAGCCACTAGGGCAGAAACAGTGAGACGCTTCAATGAAATGGTCTAGAACACAGAACAGGGACCGGCAACTGCTCAACGCTTCAGTCCAACACACACCACACACTCTTACATTCTTATACATGCACATACACAAACATACACCACATACACACACCACATACATCCCCACATACACACACACACCCTCACACACATACCATGTACACAACACACACCACACACACACATACCACACACCCCTCATGTACACTTACACTCAGACCACACATACTCATACATCACATGCACACACTCATATACACTCACAACACACACACACACACCACACACTAAAACATACCACATACACACTCATACACTCATTTATATATACACCCACCACACACTTACACGTACACACCGCACATCCCACACACCCCTCATGTACACTTACACTCAGACCACACATACTCATACACCACATGCACACACTCATATACACTCACACACACACATACCACACACTAAAACATACCACACACACACTCATACACTCACATTTATATACACACCCACCACACACTTACACGTACACATCACACATCCCACACCCTCAATATGCCATACACATTCACACTCACAGAGTCACACCTACATATCATAAACATATAGACATCACACATATACACCACATACTTACACTCACACACACATGCCAAAGACATTCACACACATGTGCACTTTCACACACATACACCCTCCACATGCCATAAACATACACATGTACACCACGTACACTCACATACAAACATGTACCACATACCATCACATATTCCATAAACACACATGCACTCACATTCTAGACACCATAAACATTCACACTCACACATATACTCACACACCACACACATGTACCACATACACATACTCACCACACAATATGCCATAAACATTTACACACACATGTGCACACTTTCACATCCCCCCATACTATAAACACAAACATAAACATACACACCCACCACATACACACTTATACTCACATACCACACACCGTCACACACACGGACCACACACTTGTATATCACATGCACTCATATACACACACACCACACACTTACACTCACAGACCACACACTCATATACCACATGCGCACACCCATACATGCACTCACAACACACACTCCCCACATACTAAAATGTACCTCATACACACACACACTCATATATACATACACCCACCACACACACTTACACTCACCCTTCACATGTCCCTTACACCATACACCCTTCACATATGCCATACACATCCACACCCACTCACAGCCCATACACCATAAACATACACATTCACACATATATACACATACACCACATATACACATGTGCCATAAACATTCACAAACACATGTGCACACTTTCACATACACTCATATCCCCCACACCTCACACACCATAAACATACACACACATACACTGCATATACACTAGCATACGCACACACACCACATACCTTCACTCATGACACAATCTTACACCATAGACATGCGCATTCACACATACATGCCACACACACCATAAACATTTACACATTCACACACACAATCATAAACATTGACATATACACACAGGCACACACACTAACACATACACCACACAAACTCAAATACATACACTCTCAAACAGTCATACCAACACACAAACACACTCATAGTTGACAGACACATTGATACACACAAAAACACTAATACACACTTTTATAACACACATATACACTAACACAGAAACACACATTCATGTATACACTCCCCACTGTCACTGTCATGAACAAAGAAAGACTCAAGGACTCTTCCAGACTTGACGATTAAATGCAACAGTGTTAGCTGAGATGTTCTTTTGCTTTCAAGAACATTATTGGGACGATGAATGGAATCTGAATAGCTGTGAGAAGAATCTGAACACTTCTCTGTGGCTTCCATTTCTGAGTTCTTCTTGACCATCTAAAGGGCCCCTCCCCGCGCTGAGCTTACCACAGGCCTGGGCGTCGCGATGGCACTGACAGCATGTTCGGTGAGCAGACTCGTGGACCCCAGGGGGGTCAAAACAGGACAGCTCAGACCCATTGTACTGGATGTCCTGTGATCTCAGAGACCCTATGGGGGGAGGATACGCTATCAGTGGACATATTTCCTTTAGAAGGAATCATTAACACCACAATACCAAAAACCAAAAACCAAACTCACTGCCATTGAGTTGATTCTGACTCATAGCGACCCCCATTGGGTTTCCAAGGCTGTAAATCTTTACGGAAGCAGACTGCCTCATCTTTCTTCCGCAGTGGGGCTGGTGGGTTTGAACCACCAACCTTCTGGTTAGCAGTCAGATGCCTCAGGCACTGCGCCACCAGAGCACCAAAACACTTGGGGAGTATAAGGAGTGCAGAACTTACAGCTGGGTTTCTTCTCCATAAACTGTCTCTTACAATAGATCACACAGAGAATGAGCAGGGCCAGCAGAACGGTGGCCAAGGCGCTGCAGATCACGGCCGCCAGGGCTGTGTCCCGCGGGCTGGAGGCCGCGGACGGGATCTTCACCAGGTTGACTTTGGTGGTACCTGCAAACCACAGGGAGGAATCAGCTGAACACTCCAACAGACAGGAATGCACAGAGGGTCACCACTAGCAATGGTCTTCGCGCAACATAAAATGCGAGAACAAGAGTGAGTTACGATGAATGATAACCCAAGAAGGCCTCCTCTTAGGAGGTTTCTTTAATGCAACATCCACCCCAAAATATACAGGCCAAATGGAAAATCAAACCTGTGCCACTGATCTCGACTCATGGCAACCCCATGAATTATAGAGTAGAACTTCTCCACAGGGTTTTCCAGGCTGTCATCTTTGTGGGAGCAGATTGCCAGGCGTCTGGACACACAAGTTACTGGGTTGCAGTAACTTGCTTTCAGGCCTACTTGACCAGAATTATGAGAGCTGGGAATTTACCATCTTCACCTTTGTGGCCCTAATACTAGGACTATGTCTAGCACACAGAAAACCTAGTATTTCTTATGTAATTGAAATCACAACATTAAAAAAACACAAATAACCCACATATTACAAGTTGTTTGCAGACCGTGTGACCCCTTGCGTGTTAGTTTCATATGCAAGCCATGTGCGTTATATGCGTGTATTATTTTTGTGGACGTGTTATATGCAAAAAATACAGTAGACCATCCATAAAAGCAGACTGAACTCTGATACATATTTTGGTGATGCATTGGGCTGCTAACCAAAAGGTTGGTGGTACAAACCCAACAGCTGCCCTAGAGAAGAAATATGAGGCAATCTTCTGTAAAGATTTACAGCCTTGGAAACCCAACAGGGGTCACCAGGAGTTGAACTGACTCAATGGCAGTGAGTTTGGTTTGGTTGTAGGAAAAACAAGGAGTTGGATCATTCCTGACCTTTTAATAGTTCACCAATTTCTGAGGCAGTAATATTTTTGAAAGCTTTAGCAGTTACATGACTGAAAAACATCTAAGTTTTGGAGAAAATACTAATATTATTATTACAATGTGGAGAGGCTGGCATAACAATGCAATAAAATAAAGTGAAGATAAAGATGCTACTTTAGAGGATGGTACAGTGTAAGGAAGGTCCCTGGGTGGCACAAACAGTTTGCACTCAGCTGCTAAGGTTAGCAGTTGGAACCCACTGAGAGTGCCTTGGAATAAAGGCCTAGCAATCTGCTCCCATAAAGATTACAGCCAAGAAAGCCCCACAGAGCCATCCGACTCTGTAACATACGGGATTGCCACAAGCCAGAATCAACCCAACAGCTATGAGTTTCATTTTGGCTTTTAGTAGCTACAACAAAAGAAGAAGGAGGAGGAGGAATGGCTAAAATAAGCCTTATCATATTTTCCTTAATCCAATATATCTCAAGTATTAACATGGCAACATGCAATCAAAATTAAAATTATGATTGAGATAGTTTTCATTCTTTATTTCATACCAAAACTGCAAAATCTTATGTGATTTTACACTCATTCAAAAAAAAAAAAAAAAAAAAACGAAACAACAAACCCACTGCCATCGAGTCAATTTTGACTCATAGCGACACCCATTGGGTTTCCGAGGCAGTAAATCTTTATGGTTGTGGACTGCCTCATCTTCTATCCATGGAGCGGCTGGTGGGTTTGAACCGCCAACCTTCTGGTTAGCAGCCAAATGCCAAAGGCATTACGCCTCCAGAATAGGCTCACAGTATATCTCAATTTGGACAAGCCACATTTCAAGAGCTCAGTAGCCACATCTGGCCAGTGGTTCTTGTACTGAACCCCATAGCTGTAGAGATTCCACGTTTGTATCGGTATCTGTGCAACAAGGCCCCTAAATGCAAACCAACTTGTCATCTAGTGCCCTTTCTCCGTGTCCTTGACTATGGCACAAACCTACCCCAAATAAGGGCCATCTCCACTATATAACACTTGACAACAAGAACAAGCTAACTCTCTGTGCTGAGAGTTTCAAATCATGCAACCAGGAGACCAGGAATTTGCTCTGCCTCTCATCTTGGAACATGAGTTGGTATTTTAAGTGCAATGATGCTGGGCCACACTGATAAAAAAAGGACACTGCTGCCTCCTGGGAAAGAGCTCTGGTGGCACAGTGCCTAAGGCATTTGACTGCTAACCGGAAGGCTGGCAGTTCAAACCCACCAGCCACTCCAGGGAAAGAAGATGGGGCGATCTACTTCTGTAAATATTTACCACCTCAGAAATCCAATGGGGGTTACTATGAATCAGAATCAACTCAATGGCAATGAGTTTGGTTTGGTTTTTTGCCCCTTGGGAAGGTACACAAACTGTATGCCTTGGGCTTGGATCAGTCAAAATCTTACTCCAATCATAAATATTCAAGAATATTTATTTGTAAACATGTTTAATATTTATAAAATACATTTAATCATTTAGAGTTCCAGAGAAATACTGTTGGAAACCAAGTCCAAAAAATCCAAACTCACTTGCCATAGAGTTGATTCTGACTCATAGTGACCCCCCATTGGGTTTCCAAGGTTGTAAATCTTTATGGAAGCAGACTGCCTCATCTTTCTTCCATGGAGCCACTGTTGGGTTCAAACTACTGACCTTTTGGTTAGCAGCCCAGTGCCTTAACCACAGCACTACTTATGGGCTGCTCCTCATAATCAAGCAGCCCATGTGAAATGTTCATCTCTTCACAAGTTCAGTGCCATCTCTGCTCTGGATGGGATTAAAATCTACAACAGACAAGTTCATGGACAAGTTCACAAAAGGAGGCGTGGACACACGTGCAGTTGAACAAACACTGACAGACAAACAGCTGAGTGGGAATGCATGTCCTATGCAAGCACACAGCAGTGTGGAGGGAGAGACTTGGACAGATAAACTGCGTCTGTTGGGACCAAATGGGGAAGCTGTGGAACACAGCCATCACACTGCCGCCTGTGACAAAGGCTGTTGACTTCAGAGTGAGGACAGTTTCCTCAGAGTCCTCATAGCCAAACAACCCAGGCCTACTCAAGAGAGGGCTTCAGCCATAGCTGTCATCAAAACGAGACACAGGACATGATTGGAGTGTAAGAGTGAAGTTCCTAACTACATTCTAACTATTTAGTTAAGATAAAGTTGTTAGCTGATAAAATAGAAAAAAACCTTCACCTATAAGTTAATTCTGATTCATGGCGACCCTACAGGGACAGAATAGAGCTGCCTCATATGGTTTCCAAGGCTATAATCTTTATGGAAGCAAATTAAAAAAAAAAAAACCAAAAACCAAACTCAGTGCTGTTGAGTCGGATCCGACTCATAGCAGCCCCTCCTTGGGTTTCCAAGGGTAGGGATCACTACAGAAGTAGATTGCCCAATCTTCCTTCTGAGGAGTGGCTAGAGGGTTTAAACTGCAAGCCTCTGGTTAACAGTCAAATGCCTTAGGCACTACGCCACAACCCACTGTGATGGAGTCAGTTCTGACTCACAGCGCCCCTAAAGGACAGAGTGGAACTGCCCCATTGGGTTTCCAAGGCTGTCAATCTTTACAGAAGCCAAATACTGTATTTCTCCACAGAGCATGGTGTCAAACCGCTGACCTTACGGTTTGCAGCTGAGTGCTATAAGGACTCCTTTCATGATTATGATGGAGTCCTTTAATTTAAATTCATACTATAGAAAATATTTCAAAATGTTAGTCAACTTCTTTACTTTAATATTAAAGGAACTGTCCCTCACTTATAAATGGGTTAAAATTCCCATTTTTGGTGGTTTGGGAGTCAGGATCTACTTTTTCCTGAAGCCAATCAGAGAAGTGTTGTTAACACTTATCTTTCTGAGGTAGGGTACTAATACTGTAATTACAATGATGTACCCTTGTCAACAGAACATCAAATTTAAAGCTAAATACATCTAGTATGTTTCTTCACTATACATTGTCCCAAAAAGGAGCATCTGAGGATGAACAAGAAAGATACTGAGTTTTATCTCCCAGAACTTTGACATCTATATAAACAAAAGCTACCTAGTTAACTCAAAGGAGCTCTGGTGGCACAGTGCCTAAGGCATTTGACTACTAACCAGAAGGTTGGCGGTTCAAACTCACCAGTCACTCCATGGAAAGAAGACTGGACAATGTAGTTCTGTAAAGATTTACCATCTCAGAAACCCTGTGGGGGTTGCTATGAGTTGGAATTGGCTTGATGGCAGTGGGTTCGGCTTTATTTAGTTTGGGTTTTGGGTAACTCAGATACTCCACCCTCAGAGAGTCCTCATGGGAAATGGGTTTTGAGAAACATCCTTGTTATGTACAAACAATATCCTCTTACTGCAACTATAATCCTTTTGATAGGAAATGGGTCCATCATTCTTACCTTTAATTTCATAAATAGCAAAGGACTCCAGAAACACCAAACTCATTGCCCTCAAGTTGATTCCAGCTTATGGCAACTCCATGTGTTACAGAGAACTGCTCCGTTTTCTTGGCTGTAATCTTTACCATGGAGCTCTGGTGGCGTAGTGCCTAAGGCATTTGACTGCTAACCAGAAGGCTAGCAGTTCAAACCCACCAGCCACTCCTCAGAAGGAAGACTGGGCAATCTACTTCAGGAGAGATACGGCCTCAGAAACCCAAGGAGGGGTCGCTATGAGTCCAATCGACTTGGCAGCAGTGAGTTTCATTTTTTTGGTTAATCTTTACCCAAGCAGATTGCCAGGCCTTTCTTCCATAGAGCCGCTAGGTGGGTGTGAACCTCCAGCCTAGGCTGGCAGTTGAGTGCAAACAACTTGTATCACCAATCTAGACATAAATATGAAGTTCCAGGAGATGGGGAGGGATATCATTTGATTTTAGAACATTTCCAGAAACTCACATTAGATTTCTGATGAAAGCCTGTTTTTCTGCAATTACGTTCAAATTGAGCAGTAAAATAAAAAGGGAGGGAGAATTTGATATTAGCTGTATGAAGTGGTTTGTGCTTTATTAACTTCTGGTTAACTGAGAAGTTGCTTTACTGAGAATGTCTCAGGAAACGACTTACCTACTACAAACTAAGAAGTATTGTCTTACTGATCTGAGGCTGCTG